GAAAGGGGCAGCCGGAGGTGAGTGTGTCTTCCTCCATCATCGCACCGGGGTCCCTGGGGGAGCAGAACACCCTGAGACTGAGACTTGCCTGGTGATGATGTTCTAGGCCAGAAGATTTACCATCCTTGGTTCTGTTTCCTTGTGCGTACACTGTGGGGACGAGTCCTGTTTCTCCTTCTTTCCCTGGAAGGTGCTGGTTCAGCCAAACTGGAGGATTGCTGGTTCTGGCCTGGAGCCAGCCATTGGCACTGATGGAGGGCATTGTGGCTGGGGTAACCCAGAAGGGCAGGAATAGATGGGGTGGGCCAGGAAAGGGGACCATCTGCCCTGAGTGCCTGAGACTGTCACCATCGTGGGCAGAGGAAGGAGAACCAGGTTTTAGTTCTATCTCTGCTGCTGCTTTGCTGTATGACCTTGAGGGTGGCCCTGCCTTCTATGAGCCTCAGCCTTCCTGCTGGGCTGTCTTCCAGACTGGAGTCTACGAGGCTTAGGCCATGGTGAGATTGTTCTCAGTATCCTATGGCCTTAGACCTGCAAGCCTCCATTGTGGGCTAGTGGGCACACACCTTGAAGGGGCCATGACTGAGATCCTGGGAGTATAATAATGATGATGATAATATTGGTGGCAGCCGATGCTCAGTGAGAGTCTATTCTGTGCCTCCCCTGTGCTGGTCACTTTCTTTGTGGGAAACAGAGGATCCTCATGCCACCCTATGACAGAGGTAGAATTGATATCATCATTTTGGAGGAGTAATTGAGGGCCAGAGAGGAGCACGGAGTTGCCTAGACAACACAGCAAGGAAGCAGCAGAGCTGGGATTCAAACCCAGGACCCTGGCCCCAAAGTGCTGGCTCCATGTGACTCTTACATGTGTGACTGACACACATAGCTCTCACACGTATTATCAGCCCTGGCTATGTTCTGCACTGAGGTCATGGGAATTCATTCATCAAACATTCACCAGGCGCCAGGCTCAGAGAGCTCAGAGCTGAATCACCAGCAGGCTTTCCTGCAGCTGAGCACAGAGAGGATTCTTCTTCCCACGCACTTGGGCCCGTGAACTAGGGCTGGGCCCTAGTCAATAGTGATAATAATAGTTAATGTGTATTAATCTGTGTCTGTGTACATTCATTCTTTTATTCAATTCTCACAACCTCATAACTATTTTACCCCCAGCTGGGCTCCTGGCTGCCAGCCAGCTTCTCTCTGAGCCTCAGTCTACCCAAGGGCTCTGTTGTGACCACTAAGGCTGCCGTCTGCCCTGATGTTGCTGTTGTGTGTCCATTGTACAGAGAAAACTGAGGCTCGCAGAGGGTGAGCGATGCGCCCAAGTTCAAAGAGGCCAGGCAGGAAGGGAAACCTCCAGCCTTGGATGTCTCAGGCTGCCAAGACAGAAGGGACCAGACACCAGGGTCTCCTCTGCTTCTTCCGTCTTCATCCTGGCTGCCTTGGCCCAGCCCAGAGAGGGCGGATCCTACTGTGCTTCTGGGACAGAAGTCCACAGCTACGCCTTGGCCTTCTGTGACGGAAATTCTGGCTGCACACACCCTCTGACCCTCAGGCCTGGGGCTGGGCCTGGGACACACTATGCAAGGACTGCCATGGACAAAGCTGGAAGCTGCACGCTAGAGGCTGACAGACCTAGGTTCAAATTCCAGCACTGAACCCTGCCTTGCTGAGTGACCCTGGGCAATTCACGTCACCTTCTAGAGCCTCAGTTTTCCTCTATGCAAAATAGGGGTGACAGTGGGGTCTGCCTGCCAGGATAGCTGAGCGGAGTCAGTGAAATGCTCTGAAGAAGCCCCTGCTCAGTGCCTGGCTCATAGTAGGGGCTCAAAAGTAAAACCAAAGAGTAGGATGGCCCAGGGCCCAGCACCATCTGAGGAAGCTCAAGTGGGAAAATGAATGAGTGAAGTGGTGATGGGGGTTGGTGCAGGGGGCAGCCTGGGCGGGGCCTGGCAGAGCCTGATTGATGGTTCAGGGAGGCTAGTCTGCCCCCTGCTGCCTGCCCTTCACCTCAGAGCCTCTACTATCATAGCCTCTCAGAGTTCCAGAAAGTTCCCTGGTGAGTGGGGCTATTGGGGCAAGGGTGGGCCCTGCAGATTTTCTGAGGGCAGGAATCCTAACCTTTCCCCTATTTTAAAGTCAGGGAAACTGAGGCCCAGAATTCCACTCAGAGTTTGGGCCCAAGTCCAAGGCCCAAACTGACCCAGGGCTCTGTTTTCCACTGGGCCCTGGCAAGCAGGAGGCTGATGGGGGCCCTTGAAGCATGGGGCAGGTTTGTGCTTGGTGGTGGTGGTGGGGCAATGGCCACCCCCACCCCCCTCAGAGTAGGTCCCTGGGGGCTCAGGAGGGGAGCAGCTAACACTCTGAGCTATAACCATATGCTAGTCACTTTGCTTGCTCCATCTCAGAAAGAGCCAGTTCCCCATTTTGCAGATGAAAACTCAGGCTCCAAGGGGTTCCTGTGATTGGAACACAGGACCGGATCTTCTGCAGCCTGAGGTTGGCACCTCCACTTCCTGGGGCCCCTTCGTGACCAGACCATGACTACCCACCTCACAAGCTTTAGGATCTATTATTTAAATATATTAAATATATTTTATTGTCTTTTTTTCCGATTAAAAATGTCACACATCCTCCTTTTAAAAAATGTGATCATTATCAAAATGCATAATATAGAAAAAATTTCCTTATATACTCCCCACACCCCCAGTTATGCAGAAGATTCCACTGTTAAAATTTAAAACACTGCCCTCCAGTTATTTTGGGCCTACATGTATATGGATTTGGGGGAGTAGTGTTCTGAAACTCTTTTTTTTTTTTTCACATTAATAGACCATAATATGTTTTTGAGCCAGTCCACTTAACTCTGCCTTTTTTTTTTTTTTTTTTTTTTTTTTTTTTTGCGGAGGGGTGGGGCGGGGCAGTGGTACGAATGGCCCTATCTGGGAATGGGCCTTGATTTGTGTTACGGTCCCCCACTGACAGACACTGAGGTTGTTTCTAATTTTGTTTCTAATTTCTGACCAAGCTGCCATGAACGCCCTTGCACGTGTGACTTTACCCAAGTGGTTCCGTAAAACAGTTGGAATTGAGAGAGCTTTCAGCTTTCTTTTTTGATAGAACTGCCCTCTGAAACTCTCTCACACTCTCGTCCATCCCCGACCCTGTCCTCCTTGCCCACCTGAATGAACAGGTATATGTCTTTGTCATGAGGGAGGCCACATTCCCTCTTGTGTAGTTTCTTCCTCTGCAAATTGCTTCTTCATGTCCTTTCCTGTGAGAAAAAATTTCTAGATGATGAGCAGAGGACTCGGGGACTGCTGTGCCTGGTGGAATGGGACTGGAGTGCCCTTTCTTTGGGAAGGATTTATAGGTGCCTTGAGTAACTTTTCCGAGCGGAGGTATGTGGTGTCCTCTTCCAAGCACGCTGTTTGGCCCCTGCCCCCAGGATAGTGGTGACATGCCATGCGTATGGTCACGGGGCAGCACGTATGACCTCTGGTGGCCTTGGGCCCAGGGCCCCATGCTGAATGCGCCAGAACAGGAGTGGAAAGTTTCATGCCTTGGCCTTGCAGCTAAGAGGAAGTAGGAAGGCCCTGAGCCCCAGCTCGTTCCTGGACCCCCATCCCTCAGCATGAACTGCCCCCGTTACAGTTCATACCCCAATCCCCTGCTAATAGGGTTGTCAACTGCTCCCCTAAACCAAGAACAAACAAAAAACCAGGAAACCCAGTTAAATTTGATATTTACCATTGAATAATATTTAATATAATTATGTCCCATGCAATATTTGGGATATACTTACTAAAAAAACCACCGAATTATTATTTTTTTTCTGAAATTCAGAAAAAAACCTTGCCTGCTGGCAGTTGGAGAGGGTGTATGGGCAGAGGCCTAGCTGGCTGTTTGATCTGAACCCTCTCTTTTCTCACTCTGAGCTTCAGTTTCTCCAGCTCTCTCCTACAGACCCAGGGGCCCAGGGCCATGTGAAGAGATGAGGAGCCTCGGCCCGTCCCTGGGCAGCTGGGAAGGGTGGCAGAAGGGACTGACTGGTCCTCTGAAAAGTGGAGGACTCATGACCCCTCCCTGTAGCCAGCCCAGGCCCCATGCCTGGGGCCGGGGACAGGGCAATGGGGGAGGGTCTTCTTTTCCTTCTTAGGAAATGATTTCATTATGAAGCCCAAAAAGGTATAAAAAGTAAACTAATGAACACCCATGTACCCACTCCGTCACTCAGCTTAAAAATGAACTGAACCAGGCAGTAGAACCTTCTCACTGCCCCACTCCCCAGCCTCTCTGCGCTGGCTTCACACACTGTCTCAGTCTGCAACCCTGTCGCTGTGTCTCTCCATGTGTTTGTCTCTCTGTCCCTGTCAGGAACTTGCTGGGGGGCCACAAAGCTGTCAGAGGCAGGGCCCAATGTCAAAGGCTGCCACTCAACCCATCCGGGCCTGGGGCAGCAGTGGGGGCTTCTTGGTGCCGGCCTCCTGACGTTTGCCCTGCTCTGTGCCTTCTACAGGTGTCTGAGATGCCGCTGCCGCAGAAGAAGCGCTGGGAGTCCATGGCCAAGGGGCTGGTGCTGGGAGCACTGTTCACCAGCTTCCTGCTGCTGTTGTACTCATATGCCGTCCCCCCGCTGCATGCTGGCCTGGCCTCCATGTGAGTGGCCCTCCGGGGCGGCTGAGGGGTGGGGTGGAAACGAGGGAGTACCTTGCGTCCTGCACCATGCTGTGCCAGGAAGCAATTCTACTGAGGGCAGAACTCACTATATAACCCTTAGCCTCAGTGTTCTCATCTGTGAAATGTGGGCATAATAACAGAGCCTGCCTTATGCAGCGTGAGAATCAGATAACACCAACTGTGTGCAGGGCTTGAATTACCATTATCTGAGGCTCCAACAGGGCTGGGAGGTGGGGGTGACTTGTCTAAGAGCATTCAGCTGGCACAGGGCTTGGATTCAAACTGGAGTCTGTCTGCCTCCAAGCATGGCTCCCAACCACGAGGCTATTCCACCTCTCCCATGGGGCTGCTCGGCCCAAGCCTGGCACAGCTTACGCTCTTAGTTGTAGTATTAAGCTGAACTAGAGGAAATTACTGCTAATTGACCATTTTTGGTCAAAAACTGACCATTTTTGCCCTACAGAATTTCATGTGGTTCAACTTAATACTAATTTATGATAAATATACAAGGACGCAGTGGCCACAAATGAGACAAGGACCAGCATGCTCATCTCACAGGACGCAGTGGCCACAAATGAGACAAGGACCAGCAAGTTTGACTTCACACCAACACCATGAGTAGGGTCTGCTGTTTCCCCCATTTCATAGATGAGGAGTATGAGGTCAGAGAAGCCAAACCACAGGCCGTGGCATTGCAGCCTGGACACAGGCCCATCTGGTCCCCCATCTGGGTTCCCCTCGCCACCACTATCTCCATCACCCCTGCTCCCTAGACAGCAGGGCTCTGGGTTCTGACACATAGATGCCCCAGCAGCCCCTGAGGCTCTCCTCACCACTCTGTCCCCAGCAGGACCCCGGAGGGTGTAGCGCCTTGCTCCCCAGCCCCGGGAGAGCCAGAGACGGTGACCCCGGCCAACGGCTCGGTGGGAGAGTGCCAGCCTCGGCGCGACATCGTGTTCATGAAGACACACAAGACGGCCAGTAGCACGCTGCTCAACATCCTGTTCCGCTTTGGCCAGAAGCACGGTCTCAAGTTCGCCTTCCCCAACGGCCGCAATGATTTCGACTACCCGGCCTTCTTCGCCCGCAGCTTGGTGCAGGACTACCGTCCAGGGGCCTGCTTCAACATCATCTGCAACCACATGCGCTTCCACTACGACGAGGTCCGGGGCCTGGTGCCGCCCAATGCCACATTCATCACCGTGCTGCGCGACCCTGCCCGCCTCTTCGAGTCCTCCTTCCACTACTTTGGTTCGGTGGTGCCCTTTACGTGGAAGCTCTCAGGCCGCGACAAACTGGCCGAGTTCCTGGAGGACCCCAACCGCTACTATGACCCCAACGGCTACAACGCCCACTACCTCCGCAACCTGCTCTTCTTCGACCTGGGCTATGACAGCGGCCTGGACCCCGGCAGCCCGCAGGTGCAGGAGCACATCCTGGAGGTGGAGCATCGCTTCCACCTGGTGCTCCTGCAGGAGTATTTTGATGAGTCACTGGTGCTGCTCAAGGACCTGCTGTGCTGGGAGCTTGAGGACGTGCTCTACTTCAAGCTCAATGCCCGCCGGGCCTCGGCTGTGCCCCGCCTGTCAGGCGAGCTATACCGGCGGGCCACGGCCTGGAACGTGCTGGATGCCCGCCTCTACCGCCACTTCAACGCCAGCTTCTGGCGAAAGGTGGAGGCATTTGGGCAGGAGCGCATGGCCCGCGAGGTGGCCGCCCTACGACGCGCTAACGAGCACATGCGGCGTATCTGCATCGATGGGGGCCACGCCGTGGATGCTGCCGCCATCCAGGACTCAGCCATGCAGCCCTGGCAGCCACTGGGCACCAAGTCCATCCTGGGCTACAACCTCAAGAAGAGCATCGGGCAGCGGCATGCACAGCTCTGTCGTCGCATGCTCACACCCGAGATCCAGTACCTGATGGACCTCGGCGTCAACCTGTGGGTCACCAAGCTCTGGAAGTTCATTCGGGACTTTCTTCAGTGGTGACATCCTGCCTGGCTCTCCCTGCCTGCTGGCCTCCCTCATACCCCTCCTGGTGCCACCCCGGTCCCCGGGGTAAGGTGGGGCTGTTTTGGGGATGCAGCCAGCCAGGACTGGGCTCACAGCACACAGAGAACTCCTGAGATCAGTATTTGACTAATTATACCGTTTTAAAAATTAAATCCCCTTCCCTCCAAAAAAGAATGTTCTATTTCCTGCCTCCCCTTAAAGGGGAGACCTCAGAAGTAAAGGCATTTGATGTGTTTTTGTTAATCAGCCTCAGTGGTGGTGACTGGCGGGGCCCTAGTGGGTAGGTGACTGGTGGGTTGAGACCACGGGTGAGTGCCTGTGTGAGCATATTTGTGGGACAGAGCCCTGTGGTGTGTCAAGGATTTGGTGTGTACCAAAATTTGATGTGTTACATGCTGAAGCCTTACGTGGTTAAAGGACTCCAACAAGCTACCAAGACGTGGAAGATTGTGTGTGTGTGTGTCTGTGTGTGTGTGTGTGTGTGTGATCATCCAGGGGACTATACCAGTTGCTTACTCCAAGTGAACACAGGCACTGGGCTGAAAACTTGGTGGGTGTCATCTCAATTCATCTTCATCAAAACTCAAAGACACGAGGACTCTTATCATCTCATGCTAGAGATGAGGAAGGGAGCTCAGAGAGGGAAAGTCGCTCAGCCAAGATCACACAGCAAGTAAGTGGTAGGACTGGAGCAAGGACTGGGCCAGGCAGAGTGTATGTCCACATGGGGGTAGAGTCCACGTGCGTGCACACGTGTATGTATATGTGTATGCATACATGTGCCTGTGAGACAGGAAGGTGGGGATCACTCTGTGGGCATTGAGCAGCAGGTCCTGGGCCCAGGCTAAAGATTCCTTGTACAATCTTATTAATCTCATAATAATCCTTTGAGGCAGGCACAGTAATTGTCTCAGGCACAGTAATTGTCTGCAGATGTGGGAACTGATAATCTGAGAGGAGAAAGGACTTGTCTGCAGATGTGGGAACTGATAATCTGAGAGGAGAAAGGACTTCCCCGAGGTCACATATCAAACCCAGAACTGAACATCTCTCTGGGACCCTGTACCCCTTCCATCTCTAGTGCCTGTTCACCCCATCTCTGCCTGTTCCTTCTCCCCCATGGACTATTGCAAGATGCCTCACTCTCTACTTGTGCTCCAACCCTACTTGGGCCCTGAGTATCCCCCTTCCATTCTGGGATTCAGTATATTAATCCAAAAAATATTTGGCATTCACTGGGAACATCTCTCTGGGACCCTGTACCCCTTCCATCTCTGGCATTCACTGGATATCTGCTGTGTACTCCCAGCCTGAAGCTGACTTTAAGTGTATAGCAGTCGGCAAGTTGGCCTGAATTCTCCTGGAGCTCATGTCCAGAGAGGGAGATGGCGGCCAAGTAACCAAGGCAAGTCTTGTATGACCAACCAGAGTGGGGATGTGTCTGCTCTAACCACCTGCTTTCCTTAGCCTCCTGAGGGAACAGGGGCTCTTTCTGGGACTCTTGGGTCTCTAACCAGCAGCCAGCAACCAGCTGTGAAAGGCAAAAATCCACAGCCAAGTGGCTTCATTGGAGACCTGTTTGTGCCAGGCTCCAAGCCAAGTGCTCACACATCCTATAGGAATATCTACAACATCCCAGCTTTCTAGACCAAAGTTCAGAGAGGCTAAGTGACCTAACCAAGGTCATACAGCTAATTAGTGCCAGAGTCAGAATTCAAAGCCAGATCAGTCAGCTTTAAGCCCCTCCCTGGGCTTGAGTCAATGTTCCTCCTGGGAGTGGGTTTCTGGTCCAGGCAGGGTGGGAAGGGATTAACGTCACTAAGTGTCTCAGTTTCCTGGGACTGTCCCAGTTTTAACACTGAAAGTTCTCACATCCCAGGAAACTTCTCTGTCCTGGGCAACCAGGAAGATGGGTGAGCCTGAGAGTCGTTTGACCCCATCGACCCCCGTAAAGCCACTATATGCACCCTCATAATGTTCTTTGCAGCAAGAAATAAACACACCTTTGAAATCTTGATTCAATTCATGAGGAGACACCTAAGCGATAAATATATAAATAAAACTGACAACAGCTAAGACTATTCTCCGGAAAAGATGTTAGTGACTCCAAATCCATGAGATAATTTTTCTGCCTTTTTATTAATCAAAGATAGATGTGACTTAGTGCAATATAATATCCTGGGTTTGTAGAACCCGATAATTATATTTCCTTGGTCTCCTAAGGGTTTAGAAATGCCAGTAATAATATTATTATATATTATTTTAAAAATAAATTTTTTTTAACTAAAAAAAAGTTCACCCATTTCTCCCACCCTCCACACACCACCCGCTTCCCAACTTCTGGGAACTACCAATCTGTTCTCTGTATCTATGAGCCTTTTTGTTTTAAAGTATATATGTAATTACAGTATTTATTATTATTAATACGGTCACGTTAGGCCCTTAGGGATCCAAGGAGAACAAATCTGGCAGTAGATGCCAAGAATATAAATTATTTTTATTAACACTTACTATCTGCCTGATTTGTTTTAAGAGCATTGTAGTTATCAACTCCTTTATAAACATAATGAATATTTTTATGTTAAGTAGCTGCCAAATACTGAGCCCAGCCCTATGTTGGATCATGCACAATCCCCTTTGCTCCCTCAGGAGGCAATTGAAATACAGAGAACTAGCCCAGGGTGACCCAGCCAGGCAGCCACAAAGGCAGAATGCAAACCCAGGTCAGTCAGATGCCAAAGTGGTACTCACAGCCTCTGGACCTACAGCGCCTTTCCAGTTGGCCCTCTAAGCCTCAGGACTGAGGGCTCTTCCACAGCTGAAAAAGTATGAGGTCTCCATCTCTGCTGCCTGCAGCTTGCAGGAGCCAGACTGCTCTCGCTATACCTGGGCAGCAGAGGGTGCCATGGTGCCAAGTTCGTTCTTGGCCAGTCCTGACACTTCTGTCCAGATGGGGGTTGCAGGCATCCACCATGACCAGTCATCTGTAGGCCTGACATGTGATAGCCAAAGCAGGAGTCATGTCTGCCCTCTGGGAGAAGAAATTCAGTTGAACCACCTGTTCCTCTGTTTCAGGTTGAAATGTATCCCCTAAAAAGATATGTTGAAGTTCCTTACAACAGACTTTATTTGGAAATAGGGTCTTCGTACATGGAATCAGGATGAGGTCATTAGGGTGGGCCCTGATCCAGTATGTCTGGTGTTTTTACAAGAAGTGGAAATGACACTGAAGGCAGATACCCAGGGACAACGCCAAGTAAATAAAAGCAGAGATCAGTGTGATACGGCTGCATGCCAAAGAATGCCAAGAACCTCCAGAAGTTGGAAGAGGCAAGGAAGGATTCTACCTAAACTTTCAGCAAGAACATGGCACTGATTTCAGACTTCTAGCCTCCAGAACTGTGAAAGAATAAATATCTGTTGTTTTAAACCACCCAACTTTTGGTACTTTGTTATAGCAGCCACTGGATACTAACACACTCTCCACTCTCTGTCCCTGCCCTGGTTAGGCCTCTGCCCCTCACCTGGAAACCTACCTCGCCTCCTTCCCTTTGACTCACCCCTATTAACCATCCTCCCCCTGAGCCAGAAGCCATCCTCTGCTCAGAGCCCTCCATGGTCCCACTCGCCCTTGGGGAGAAGCGGTACAGCTGAATGCCACTCACTGGATACTAACACACTCTCCACTCTCTGTCCCTGCCCTGGTTAGGCCTCTGCCCCTCACCTGGAAACCTACCTCGCCTCCTTCCCTTTGACTCACCCCTATTAACCATCCTCCCCCTGAGCCAGAGGCCATCCTCTGCTCAGAGCCCTCCACGGTCCCACTCGCCCTTGGGGAGAAGTGGTACAGCTGAATGCCACAGTGGCTTCGCACCTGCTGCTCCTTCTACCATAAGGCCCCCTTCCGTTGGCAGCCCTAGCATTGCTATGTCCTGCGTATGTCAAGCAAGCTCTGCTGCCTCTTCTGGGCAAGCTTCCTTGACAGCCCAGCCCCAAGGCCAGTTTAGAGCCTCCAGTCTCCCTCATCTCGGTTTGCTCACCCAGGACCAGAACTGTGGACTTGCTTGTCTGCAAGCTCCTGACAGTAGGCTCCTCCAGGATGGGGCCTGGGTCTTATCGACAAAATTGGCCTGTAGTGCCCAGGCCAGTGCCTTACACACATTCCGTTCTTAGTGAATGTTGAAAGACAGATGCTAAAAAGAAAGAAAGGGAGGTCTTGCACTATAGGCTAAGGGTTTGCTGTTTCTTCTGAGGATGACAGGAGCCAAGGAAGGCTTTGGATCAGGGCAGGAATGGACCCACAGGCAGACTTTGAGAAGATGGGCCAGAGGTGCTGGGGTGAGAAAACAGGGAGAGGGGACTAGGGCCTGGGCCAGAGAAGAAGCAGAGGCAGGTGGCCTGCCTACATTTGCCCCTTGTGGCTGAAGTTCTAGCCTGTGAGTCTGTGGGTGCTGGGGAGGCCCCATCCTGCAAGAGAGGCAGATCTGCTTCAGTTACTCCCATGCAAGGCCAAGGGGAGACCACTGCGAGACTCAACCAGGCCACACAGGTGCGTGCTCTGGCTGGTGCCAGGCATGTGGAATACAGTGTCCTGAGTGAGTGCTAGGTTCAGACAGTCCTGATTGTCACCCAACAACTGCATGGTCTCAGGCATGCTGCCCGCCTTTTCTAGGCTCTGTCAGATGGAGAGGAATAGTCTGGGGCTCATGGACCACGTGAAGCCTTTGGTCTAACTGATCCCTGAGTAGACTGAAGCTGCCCGGCCAGCCTATATTCTCTCAGCCTCATCATTTCCCAGCAGCTGCACCCACTTTTCTCTGCCCAAGACCTTTCTCCGGCTTCTAGAGCCATGTGCCCAGCAGACCAGAAGTGCCAGTAGAGTGGACGGTCCCTGGAGCAGCCCTCAACCAAAAACCACGTGGAGCTGGCATGGAAGAACCCCAGCTTCCTCACCCCTTAGTGGGGGTCTCTGAGGTAAGGTACATGTCTCCCACTGCGTCCCGTTCATTCCCAGTGGGAGTGAGCTCTTCCTTTCTTCCTTGACTCTCTTTCCTGCACAGCTGCCTTCCATCGTCTCTCTCACTTTCCCACTCCAGTACTTATGTTTCCTGGGATCACCTCCAGAATCAACACCGTGCTCTGAAGTCCTGGTCTCAGGATCTGCCCTTGGGGTAACCGATGAAGGCAAGTACCTACTTGTGCCAGGCCTTGTGCAAACAGTGTGATTTCACGTGTCCTCATCT